TGGATTTGCTGTAGAGGCCAAATGTTAACTAACACTTGCTGTGTCTTTCTGGCTTTCTTTGTCTCACTCCAAAAACAGATGTTGCAGCAGTTGACGCTAGGCTCTTTGCTCATCCTTCAGCTGTTTCACCAACAGTATAGCGATACCCCCTCTCAATATCCACTTTACAAGCGATACCCCCTCTCAATATCCACTTTACAAGTTCTTTCTAATCACAATTCTGGAGTACACATAATTCCAATCACTATTCAGTGTATTTTAACCGTGATCACAATTAAGGGTGCCCTGAATTCTTTTAAATAAGTGTGCCAAGGTAGATTGTTCTTGAAATGGCAAGAAAACCTCCGAACCATGTGACTATTTGACTCTTCGTGCCACTACGTACTCTCTAGATAGCTCATCAATATCTGGCACGCGGAAGATTTATTCCTGCGGCGCTCAGCATGTGGTGTAGCAGCGCGGTAGTACTGTAAAATCATTTCAGAAGCGTGAGAGGAATCCACTGGAAAACTTTTAAGAGGAGCAAGTCTCTACAAAAAAGCATAATACGCAGGAGAAAGTAGTGAGTAATGAATTGACATTATTCATGAGCTCAGGGATTTATGTTGTTGTCATTGGGAATTACGTAGAGAAGGAATGGCAGAGATGATCATAAAAGGAGTGTTAATTCTGTATTTTAAAGACAGGCCTGAACCTTATAGATCTATTTAAAACTTGCCAGTTCTAAAAATTTCAACTGCAAATAAGTAAGACTCAAAGAGGAGGTCTTTAAAACAGCCAAGCCCTAGGTTGTAACATTTTTAAACCAACAGGGTGCAACAAAACATTTTAAATGGCCACCATAAAGACTTCAGCTCATGATTGTGTTAAGGTAGAGGAAAATCGAGCTCCAGCCGGGCAAGAGGGTGGCTTTGGCTGAAGCCTCGCCGTGGGGAACAGGGAGATGCGAGGCTGAAGAAACAGGTTGCCTGTTGCAATGCTGTCGCTGTGACTTTTGCACTGCAATTTGTCAGGCAGTTGTGTTATGAGGAAGTTACATGTGATAAACAGGTTGGAGTCTTACAGGTAATATAGCTCATAAATAGTCTTGAAAACAGGTAAGCATCTTGTAAATGGTGATTCCCCAGAAACAAAATGGTACAGCTCTGGGTTTTGCTTGTTAGAACCACTGCGTGAAAAGACAACATACACGGCATGCATCCCTCCAGCATCAGTCGCTTGGAGGTAAAATTCTGGAGACTTTGAATTTTTAAGCCGATGTATGTTGGCTTTTCCTAAGAAAAAAATCTTCTGTGTGTGTCGCCATGCGTGCAGTCAGACGGCAGGAGAAGTTTGCAAGAGAAATAGAAAGTCGGTAAAATAATCTTCATGAAGTGGAGCATGGTGGAATTTCTGATTTGGGAAATAAGAGTCTCCAAGAATTTGGCACATCAAGTGTCTGATGCGTAAAATCCTGTCGTTAAAGGCTGCGTGTCGTATGTGGGGATGGAAGCAGTGACCCGTACTGTTGTTCAACCCTTTCCACAGCAAGATCCTGTTTTTACTTACAACTTACTCAAACTGCAGTAATTGAGGCTAACATTTTCCATGAAACAGCAGTCCAGGAGGAGTCGTGATGTCAACACAGCAGTCAAAACACACTAGACTCCTTGCAAAATCAGCCCCTGAAAACATGGAGACTTCTGCCCGTCTTTCGTTTCTCCGTGTGCCAGTTTTCCCACGGAGCGATGGTGTTTGCGACTTGATGTTATTAAGATAAATCCACGCGTGTTTGTCTGGCGTTCTGTGGTTACACCGATGAGCGAGATGATAAGGCTGGGAGGAAATAAAGAACTTTGCCTTTAGTCTGTTGCTTGGGTGCTGGTTGGAACAAAACCTCGCTGAGGCTAGAACTGAAAGCCTTCCTATCACCCGAAGCATCGCCGCATGCTCTCGGAGCAACTCCTGGCACTACCGAGGAGCCATCCCTTCTGCCTGCATTTAAGAATATCCTCCTCATTCTTCTTCTCTCTTTGCTCTTTCATAGTGAGTGTTGAAAAAGTGGAATTAAAGGGACTGGCACACAAGAAGAATGAAAGAAACGTTGAATATTCCTTTGAGGTAAGTTTTGGTGATTGGGTTGTGGTTTTTTTTCGCTATGACAGAAGGGAGGATAATGCGTAAGGAGGAGTTAAAGAAACTCTCAAACTATTGTTAGATCCCAGAAATTGGTCAAGTGGAGCTCCTTTGGGATAAATGGTAGTCGTATTTTTCAGTCAGTGATCTGGAAGTAGTCGTAAGTGGCTGTTGATGAACAGTTGTGGATGCTGCAGAGATTGGCTGGTAAGTGGGACACGGGCCAAACCCAAATGTACTCGCTCTAATGCAGCACGTTGTGGCAAAGTAACTATTTAGGGGAAAATACCATGCCACACTTACAGCATGGTTATCTGTGGGCTGGAATGCAGAAGCTAGCAAGAATTGAAGTCTTAATCGGGACAAACGAGAATTCAGACTCTTAGGGCGCTGCTGCACGAAGGGAACGGAGGTCGGATGGTCACTTGTCTTTGCCCTGAGCATTGAGGGGAGAGTGAGGCTGTGGCGTATGGTTCAGGCCTTACTGGTTTTAAAAGGGATGTGGAAGAGTACGGAAAATAGCTATGGAAATTCTTCAAGGCCTGAGGGAAATGCTATGTAGCGAGAGACGTAAAGAACGGGACTAAAAGATGACTTTCAGTGTCATAGAAAAGCGTTTTCAAAGGGAAGAAAATACTTTATGGTAAAGGGGGTGTTAATGGAGCTGAAAAAGGCGTGACAGGAACGGTTTGAAAATTGAAGCCAGGCTAATTCAAACTGGAAGTGAGAATAGTTTCTTTGGAATGAGAGCGGTTAGCCACAAGCTGCTAGGAGAAGCGGCTGCCTCCCTGTTTTTACGCAGCTTTCGGAGGTTCGGTCATCGCTCACCATTTCTGGGGAGGAATGACTTCATTCCGTGAAACCTTGTGTTAATAGCGGAGACTGGATTCTGGGCGCTGGCGAGAAGGAATGACAAACTGCTTTTCTCCCGTCTCATTGGAACGACGTATTCCAAAATTCAGAATGCAAAGCCCAGAAAATGTCTTTGGTTTGCTTAATGAGGCGACGGAGCCAAACAGTTGGTGAGAAAAGGAGAACCCGAAAGAAAACGGACAGTAGAATTTCAATTATCTACAACTTTTACCACAAAGAAAAAGTTACTCTTTAAAACTACCACCCAAGACAGAGCATCAGTCCAGCGTCTTCTTGTGATGCTGACAGTGTTAACCTCTGCCTGACTTGATTCACAGATAATGTTCTGAATTTTCTGAATCCCGTTGATCCAAATGTCATCAATATTAGAAAGCTTTTTGCAAGGGGTTTTAAAAATCTTTATGAAGTATGCGGTTGTCTGGACTCCAGTTACATGTTAGAATGTTGTGAAACATCTTTTCCTATTACAAATTTTCCTATAAATACCAGAAATTACTTTTACCAGTATTTCACTTGACATAACTGAAAGGAGAGCGTTTAGCTCAGCTAATAAACTGCTGTTTGCAGGGTTAGAAACCCAACTATGAAATGTTTTGTTTAGTGGCTTGGGAATAGGTCAATAGATAGAGCGATTGAGCGTTTTCAGCATCACTTCGCAATGCTATTGTTCCCTGCATTTACGGTCCACGGTATTGAAAATTATAACAAGTTAGTGAAATGTAAGTCCTAACAAATGTCGAGTTATTACAAAACTAGAAAGAAAGAGAAATTTCTCCTATATTTTCTGAAATTCCTCATGAATCTAAAGAAAGTATTCGTTTATCACCAACTTCAAAAAAACCCCAAACAACCCCACAGGCTTTGTAAAACCAGAAACTGCTCAAGTTTTCTCCCTTCTTTTCTTTTTTTTTTTTTCCCCCCTTACTTTTTGTGTAACAGCTCTGCAGAGAGGAAATTCCTTCATTATGTAATGTATTTTGAAATGCTCTCCTCTCACCAGTCTTTTTGGCAGCATTCTGACGGCTGGAAAAAACTTTGTGTATGTTTTCAGTTGTCATTGAAACTGGTGTCATGTGAGAAGATGGTCTCCTGATTCTTAAACACATAAAATCAGCTTCTTCCCCTGTAGAACCGCTGAAGATCCATGTGCCTTCCAGACGCCTTGAATAGGTATCTTGAGTCTGAAGGGACTTATCGCTGGCCAGTCTCCTGCTGATACTCTTCGTGCCAAGAAATCCTGACTTTTGCCTCAGTTCAACTATTCCTCTACCAAGCAATAAATGCCTCTGTATCTAAGAATGTAATGACTTAATGCAGAAAGCGTATGGGAAGAGATACGGGCCGATTTCCGTCGGCTGGGGCATAGACAAGATGGTGTCTGGAGAGCAGAGCTAGAGCAGGCTTCGTTTCTAAGGTTTCGCCTTTTTTTTGCAGCGGGGTGATTTGCTGCCATCTTCAACTTGGCCTGGCATATGGAGTTGATTAATTATAAATAGGCACTGTTGTGCTGTGGTGAGTTGTTCACGTCGTACATCAGATTCGACAAACCAGCTGTTTTCTTTAACAAGACTAAGAAAAAAAGAATTTCCATTACTTAGTAGTCTGTCCCTTAATACTGGATGTCTGCAGTGTGCAGTGGCTGTGTAAACTATGAAGGGCTTTTTGAAGCATTCAGGATAGTTATTAAGTACAATAACAGCAAGAATCGGGCAGCGAGGCAGGACTGAGTAATAGCTACTTGTGAACAAAACCGAGTTTTTCCTTATTGATGTCACACGTTACAAACTTTCTTGCAGTCTGTGGGGGACGTTTGATACCTATTGTTGATCTTTTGGAACCAAACTTAATTACTAAACTGAACCCTTTTTACTTCCTAAGGTCCTGTGGTCTGATTCTTCAGTGACATTGGTAACCAAATCTTCCTCTGAAGTGACTGAATTTATTTCAAAGGTAAAGGAGATATGAAAAATACTTTGAAAACGGACAGATGTTTTGTCCCTCGATGTAATTTTGTTCAATGACATTTTTCAAAAGGTGCTGAGCTATTACAGATTGAATTTCATACTGTTTGTCTTCTAAATTGCTTTGTCTTGAATCTCACATGAGCAACAAGTCATCTTTTCACTTACTGTTGGTAATGTACTCCACCTTTAGCTATCTCAGCTGTATCCAGAAGAAAACTTGGAGAAATTCATTCCTTGCCTAGCTGGTCCAGATTCATTTTACCTAGAGCGGAACCACATGGACCTGGAATCGGACCTTAGGTATGCTGGCTTTGTTGTGGTGGGGGGTTTTTTATCTTGACACTTGGCTTTTTTTCACCAAGTGGAAGAAAAAAACAGGAAATAGAAATTTTATGTTCATGCTCTAAATTACTTCCAAGAAATTAGAGCCTGATCCTAAGCGTTATTTCTTGATGTCCTACTAATTCCAGTGCATAAGAATTTTTCAGGAATTCTTTCTTCAGAAATACAGCTGGTAATAATATTCTGTATTAATCTTCCTGGAGAGCTGACATTTCCTCATTCCTTGTTAAAAACAAATAGAGGATCATGGGCTTTGCAGAAGGTTGGTTTGGGCTCAAAAAATAGCCAAAACCGCTTTAAAAAAACCCCTAAAACTCTGGAAAAAAAACAGTTGCCTGAATAGTCATACTCCTGTATTGAGGGATGGGTTGTGGGGATTTTATTCCCCGCCCTTCCCTTTCACAAGAGTTCTTTATTGTCTCAGTTGTCTCAGTTGGTTGTGGTGTTTATTTTACTTTAATTTTAAGAAGGTAGGTATTATAGCCGTTAAATTTTTGGAAGCCGTTAACAGCTAAGACATTTCTGAAGCCTTAGGTAGTACCTCCTCACATTATCACAAATCACTTGGCCATTATCTAAGCTAAAGACCATTTTAAAAATCATCAGCTGTGGCAGGTCACATCAGCTCGTTCTTTCTAAACGCTGAAATAGTTTTGCGAGGAAAATTCGAGGGACTTCACTTATTTTCAGCTGCTACTGTCTGTATCTATGCAAAGTATTAACTTTTAAAATACTAATTAATTTTTGTTAGAGCTTCTGCTAAACCCCTGTTTTCCCCCAAGTCAAGGCAGACTTTTGTCCGTTGGCAGAGCCACAGCAGATACTGTTTTTCCGGAGGCAGAGCCAGCAGGTCCCTGCCTAGGTTCTCTGTCAGGGCAAACAGCGTTGCCATTTCAAACAGCCCCTTCTGTGCTCTGAGGACCACAGCCTGTTGCTGAGAATTAGGAAGGGGGAGAGAGGATGCGTGTGGCTGCTGCTGCTGCTGTTCAGCGAGCAAGTCTGCAAATCTAGGTTAAGAGAGCAGCAATCTGCATTTACGCAGCAAGGCCGGTATCTGTGGAGCAGAGAAAGGAGCTGTTAAGTGCTGTGTACTTGAAAAATTCAGAAATGAACTGTGATTTTTCCAGGTGGAAAGCCCGTTTGTGTGTGGGTATAGCCGAATTATTTTTTTTACTCAAAGCCTTTTTTAAAATGACAAAGATACGGTCAAAACGCTGTCTTTTTTAAACAATTTCCCATGCATTTTCAAATCGATGGCAATCCAGTTTGCATGACAACAAGAAGTTCAGGCGTGTTGGTAGAACACGCTTTATGCGTTGCAAAGTTTTTAGGACGTTGCTGGTTTTTTCCCAGCAAAAGAGGCACAGCAATCCCAGGGAAAATGTGACATAAGTTTTACAGCCTTTTTCCCCACACTGCCAGACTCTGCATCTGCTGTTTATCTCGGAGAGGAGAAAATAAAATAACAGATACATCTATATTTTCTGGTCTTCAGGTTTGTGAATTCGAAAGGAGATGTTCAAGTTTATATTTGAACATTTTCTGCCTTAGGAGTGTTCGGTGTTCCTGAATTAAGCATCTTTGCTGGAACGCTAAACGTGTGTCAGTAGTGTTAGGGATAAGAATATCCATACGTTTCAAGCCTACTTTGATTCAGAATTGGATGGTGTTATTAAATTGGAAGGTCTTTTACGTTTTAGTTTCACAATTTCAAATGCAACGTCAAAATGTCCTGTACAGTCTACAGTCATGATTGCATCGGCAGCTGCCATCAAGTATAACAGAACGGGGGTTTTGTTTGCTTTTGATGAACGTGCAGGTATTTGGCACCATTACCTTCCCATGTGGTGAAAAATGACCACGTTAGAAAGTTCTTCAGCACTTCATCTCCTTCACAGCAGCTTCAGACTTCAAGTAAGTTTGAATAAAGTTTTTAAATGAGGTTTTTTTGTACTGATGTACGTTTCAGAAACCGATGCCATTTGTGACTCCTGTTCTCCGTTTTCAGATCCTGGCAACCCCTCCCTTTATAAAGTAGGAACTACGCTGGGCACGTCTGGAAGGTGAGATACTTATTTTGTTCACCTTTGTTCTGGTTAGTTGTAAAACCCCGTGACATGGGTAATTCTCTGTCGCCCCTTGGGGATTTATTTGCGGCTGCGCTTTCATATTCATCCGCAGAAGACATTAAGAAATTCTAGCCTCAGTGTGCAGCCTGCCCAAAACAGACAGGTGGTGGGAATATTGGTGTTCGGTACTACCAGCATTCCTAGTCTTGTCATCGCTTCGTTCTTTACGGGCCTTAAGAAAACGCATCTTACAATAATAACTGCAAGAGCTCAGTAGAGGTAATGGCTCGAAGAAAGGTTTTGCAGTGAGTTGATCGCAAAGACAACGAAACTTAGGTAACAGGCAGTTTGCAAGTCAAAATATAACGTGATATAATGGCTGGAAATGGAAGATAGAATTCAGCTTCAAAAATAAAGGATATAAAATGTAATTTCCATTGGAGCAAGCTTTCTAGCATCCTGACAGAATCTCTCGTCACTGGCGGTTATGAAATCAGCAGTGGCTCTCTGGTCCTAAGAAACGTGTGCGTTCAGGGAAGAATTTAGGGAAACCTTTTGACCAGCAGTCTGTGGGAGATGAGATCAGACGATTGCAGCGTTCCTGCTGGCAGAAAAACCCGTGAACGCCCGTTCTAAGCAGCGTTTCTCAAAACGTTTAAAGCTGTAACTACCATTTGGCATCAACGCCTCAACGCTGAGCGGTGGCGATGGATGATTTCTTTGTGATCCGCCGCTCGCCGCCAAGGTCATGACGGTTTCGATCACATACTTAAAGGGAATAATGATCATTCGAATTGTGGGCACAGATCTGGCCATCCCTAGGATAAGCCTTCGCGGGCCAAGGCAGACTAGACCATCTCCGAAAGGGTTTTTTCTCTCTGCCGCATGTTTGAGTGTTTCCTTGTACAGCAGGGCTTTTACTTTCGGAGGGAGGAAGGAAACCTCTTCCAAGGGAGGTAGAAGTCAGCCTTGGGAAAAGGAGGAAAGGAATTCTTTTGCCTTTTGTTAGGATTTAGCAAACTCAAAACTCATTCTTTTAAGAGGCAATTTTCATTTTCTCCAACAAAAGCCAGAGCCCTCCAAGGAGCCAATATTGTGGGTTATTTTTCCACTTCCTATGTAAAAAAAAAAAAAAATTCCACAGGATTATATTTGGGCTTCTTTTCTTCTTTTTAATAATGCAAAGCTGAACCATGGCCGTTCTCTCTAAACCTTTTTTAAATCACAGAGAGGTAGTAGAACATGTATTATCTCCGATTACAGAAGGAAACCTCTGCTCGAGCTGAAGAGAAGGCTTACTGTTTGCCGTAAAGTGCCCTGGTTTTGTTGCGCTGTTGGGCAGTGTAGGTACTTGCACCAAACAGTGCAGGTTTTACCAGAAATCCTGGAAGTGGTAGATTTGCGTGGCCGTAGCGGCTGAACTCTGGATTCAGTGTGCTAAATGAAATTACGTTACTATTTTGCAGACCTATATGTGGAGTGGCTGGCATTCAGGCTTCTCAGAATCATGTTCAGCACTCGGCTGCTGCTCCCGTTGCACTACCCCACTGTTCCCATGCAGGAGGTACTGGCTCTTCGCTGGCCTATCGCACCCAGATGGACGCCTCTTCTTCACCCATGTTAATGTCTTCCAGTCCACAGACCCCTCAGACACAGGAGCAAAACGGGATCTTAGACTGGCTCAGGAAACTGCGGTTGCACAAATACTACCCTGTCTTCAAACAGCTCACGATGGAGAAGGTAGGGCAGTAGATTAAGAAAAGGGAGGCGGCTTTTAAATCGTCCTTCTGTTCCCTAGCGCGGAGAGAGGGGCTGCAAGCACCTGCGTTGAGAATTGCCAAAGTCATTGGCAAACGCTGCGAAGGGTTGCTCTCTCTTGAAGCAGTAATATTTGGATGAAAACCTTCTTTCTATTTCTGAGCAGCGCTGTGTCCGGAGCCTGGGCTGTCCGACAGCTGCCGCCTGTTTCAGAATTCTTCGCTGGATGCTTGAAGATCCAACATGCGTGTTGCCTTAGGAGCTCTGCTTTGGCTCCCTGTTCATCCCTTTGATGTGCAGTAGATAACTAAAATTTGTTGGGTTTTTAACTTCTGCTGCTTGATTGATTTTGCTCCCCAAATGGGTAACTTACTTTAAAAAATAGATTCCCCCCGACTTCTGACGTGAACGTTAGCGTGCGCACGTCCCTGCAAGTGGATGTCAGGTTTTGGTTTTCTCTGGAAATTCTTGTGGAAAAACAATCACTTATGTATCTGCGCAGTAGAGAGTCACGAATGATACCTATGTGTGCTGGATTTTATCTAAATAGAACTCCAGCATTTACCCAGCTCCGTCTGTGAAATTCATGGCCTCCTGGTGTCTTTGAGCCTCGAACGCCCTCCAGTGGAGTAAGAGCTTAGGTTGAGCCAGGTCTAAATTGGGCTGGCTCTGTGCTGGTTATAGCATGTTGTACGTATTTTAATTATAAGCTGTTACCAGAGTCTTACGATTTGATGTTCTTCATCATGCGAGGGGAGATACATAGTGAGGTTTTTGGAGTATATTTTCCAATCAAACAGCAAACGAACCATCATGAGTCCACTGAGTGGACCGTGACAATGACTGCACGTTGATTTCTGTGTTAAATGACACAACTAGGAAAAACTAGAGTGATTTTTTTTTAAGAGAAACAGACCCTCAAACTCCTTTATAGCACAAAGTTCTATTTTAATATGTACACAAATTACTTCATCTTTTGTGTGAGTAGTTAATATAAGCACACACCTAATTAAATTTAATCTACAGATGTTCTTTCTTTCATGCCAGTCCCCCACACTTCCATTCTACACTGATTCTATAATTTAAAACTGGAGTAGAGGGTTTCTTTGAATTAACATATGTTAAAAAAACGTCTTTAAAGTTGCCTTTCTGAATTGATCTGTACTGAAAATGTAAATAAGAATATTTCAGGCTGTAAAACTAAGCACGCTTTTTTTTTCTTTACAAGTTTCTGAGTCTTACTGAGGAAGATCTGAATAAGTTTGAATCCCTTACCATGGGAGCAAAGAAGAAGCTCAAGACCCAGCTAGAGCTGGAGAAGTAAGTGTGGGGGGAACCTGTCTTTTAAGGTCGTAAGCTACGTAATGCAGATTTCACACCGGTCTTTGCTTTCCAGACCATAAACCTACCAGGATTCCCACCTGTAAACCTGGATAATGCTTATCTCCCTTCCTCTGCAGTTGCATTGGTTACTTGGAAGAGCTCTTGAAACGGGGGCTCGCTGGGTAATATTTAGTGCTTACGGGTTTCCTGTTGCCTGTTGGGGGTTGTGGTAAGGATAACCAAATGCCAAGAATTTGTGTTTTAAAGGGAATCAGGCCAGCGAGCCCTGAGCTGTAGGGTTTGCAAGCTCAGGGGGATGCACACGGAAAGTCAGGATGCCCAGCAGGGCTTTTTTCTTCGTAAGACCTGACAATTTGCTGGGCTTCCAGTCAGCGTGGACGGAGCCCAGCTACTTTGAGAGCCTCTTTGGTGTCCCGTGGTGACCCAAGCTGTGGCTGCTGCAGGTGCTCCGGCCTCTGCTGACTGCCAGAGCTGGGGTGCGGGGTGCCAGGTGATACCCGTACAGGATCTGAACTTTGTATGGGGACCAACCACGGAAAGGCAGGGCTGTTGCAGGCAATCCCAGGAAGATCACAGCTTTGTGTGAAGGTGATACAAAAAAAGACCAGTGCTCTGTGCAGTATTAATAGCCCTTTGGGGGAAACTGATGCAACAGGTTGTCCTGGGTTTTATATCTCCCCTTCAGAGGGAAATGTTTATTCTGAAGCTACTGCAGTTACTTAAAAAGCAATTAAAAAAATCCAAATCCATGCCCATTTATCAAAGCTCCTGGACAGCGTTTTTCATCAGCCGTAGTTTTTCCAGAGGGTGTTTGCAAAATGAAAACTTGGGACTGCCTTTGGCTTCTCTGTGGGTTCGGTGTGCGTGGCAAGGTTTGGGGCGCGCTTGCGTAAGGCGCGATGGAATTCAGTCACCATTGGGTGATGTTTGGCCTCACACAAATAAGAGCAGTGGTATTGCAGTCAAATGGCAAATAATCCAAATGGAACTGCTGGCAAGAAGCTGTGGTCAAGACTGATGTGAGTTCCACGTGTTCCCATTTGAAGTTAGCTTAACATCTAGTGGATTATTCGGTGGCTTTGTCCGCTTCGTTCAGAAATCGATTTCTCTGTTGTTGCGCTTTAGCCCGTTTCTGTTTCTTCATACCTTTCTCCATCACCCTGTAGAGAAAAATCGGAGAAACGGTGCCTAAACCCCACAACACCTTCTTCAGTTACCAGCAGCGGCGTGGCGAGGGTTCCCCCTACTACGCACGTAGGGCCTATCCAGAGTATTCGTGGCAACCACGCTGCAGGTAAGCAGGGGGAGCAGAGCACGCTGTGGTGCTCTCGGGGCTGAGTATGTCCTTGCACATGAGCCAGCTCGTTCTTACACCGCTTTTTCACCAACCTCTCCTAAGCTTTATCGTCCGAAATGTCACTGGTTTAATAGAGAGCGATCAAAAAGTCCGATTCCTGGGTATGTGGGGTGCAGTAACAAGTAGTTTCCTCTTTGTGGCCGCCGTGCGCATGGCTGGCTGCACTGGTCAGCGGCTGTTGCGCCTCCAGACTCCTGCTTCTTAGCTGATGCCTGTCTCTGTAAATCTTGAGCATCGCTGTGTGTTCGAAGGTGTGGTGAAATGGTTGTAACTGGGTCCCGTGGAGTAGGCGTTACCGCTCTCGTTCGCCTTCCCTGACGGCTCGTACACCCTTTATCCGCAGAGCTGCGAGTGGACGTGGATCAGCCAGCCCACCCGCTGCCT